ACATGCAGGCAATACACACATACACATAAAATAAAAATTGCAAATAAAATATTTTTTAAAAAAAGAACCAGAGCTAGACCTGCAACAGGCAAGGAATGTGTCCTTCACTCAGAGAACACAGCAAGGGCTGATAAACCCTTCCGAGGAATGAGCGCATCTGCGTCAAAAGAAGGGGCGGTTTCTAATTTCATAGATCTGGCGTCCTTGAGGGTCTCTCTCCCAAGATTATTTTCTCAGGCAGGTGAGCTATCTTAGGGCACTAAAGGAGACAGGCTGACTCTATAAACAGTCTCCCTTGACCAGGAGTGACCAGTTGATAAGGCTTGAGCAAGGCCAGGCTGCCAATTTAGAGTTAGCCACTTTAAGGGATTTATGGCTTTCCCTAATGAGGCTTGTGGCTCTTCTGCAATTCACACATTCTATCAGCATATACACACATGCAGGCACTCACACAGACACATAAAATATAATAAATCTTTAAAAATAATGCATGATAAGAGCTGGAAGAAATAAAATGCATTAAAGGAAAGAATGGGATTTATTAATAATAGACTCATAGCTGACCTAAGTAAATAATCCATTTCCTTTGTAGCAACAGTCGTATTTACATAGAAGACCAGCAATGCCGGTCCGTAGCATTTATCAAGCAAGAAAAAAATATAATCTCTAAGATCTGTTAAGAATTCCAAATGACTCACTGAAGCTCATTTCATAATCAACCTCTAGAGTTTCCTAACTACAGCTAGCTTTGAACAGTCTTAGGCCAGAAAAACCCAAACATTTGGTGAGAGAATTTTGATCGGTAATTGAGGGACTTTAAGAGTTTAGAACTGGGGCAGGAAGAGTGATTTAGAAAAGTCTGTGGAGATGGTTATCAAGTGGCTAACAGCACAGGTCCTGGAACAAGTTGCTTGGTTTGAATCCCAGCTGTGCCACTGACTCTCTGGGGCTTCCAACAAAATCCTCCCTGGCCTGGTGCCTGGGTGGGAGTGGTAGCCACCCCTAGGGTGAGGCAAAATGACTTCGCTAAAATGTTTAGAGCCGTACCTAGCACACAACCCAGTGTAAGTGTTTGCTGAAGGGAAATTATGGAACAGCTTGTGTAACCAAAACGCCTCTGGAATTTCTTAGTTGGTTTCACCAGCTCAGAGGAGAGTGCAGTGAAGGAACACACTCCCCACCCACTCCCAGCTTCCTCCTGAGGACCAGCCTGGATTCAAAATCCTACTACCACAGCCTCCTGAGTGCTTGGCTTACACAGCACCTATAGTCTCAAAGTCTTCCTGACTTCTCAGATCTTCAGAGTATTGTAGTTTCTTTTTTTCTTAAAAACAGTTCTGGAAGGAGCTGGGGAAGGTGGGGGCTGCTCTTAGGCTGTGCTTTATGGACCATGTGCTGCTACACATGCCTGAAGTACTTGAAATGCAAATTCAGGCCGACTTGGCAAGCGCCTGGTGAAGGTGGTTTTTCAGCAAGTAGGAGTCAGTGTGCAGTCGGTCTGGAAAACCATATGGTTCATCTCGAAAATCGATAGTAACGAATCTGATTCAGTGCTCAAAAGCAGTTTCAGCTTACCAGCTGTGATGGTTGAATGAGAATGTTCCCTATAGGCTCCAAATATTTGGATATTTTGTCCCCAGGTGGTGGCACTGTTTGGGGAGGTCTTAGAAGGTGTGGCTATCCTGGAGGAAGCACATCACTGGGGGTGGGCTTAGAGAGTTCTTAAGCCTTGCCAGATCTCCAGTCCCTCTCTTGCTTCCTTGTGCCTGTTTGAAGATTGTGAGAGCTTAGCTTCGGCTCTTCCTCCAGCCACCTCTGCCTCAATGCCTCCCCACCATGATGGACTCTTGCCCCTTTGGAACTGTAAGTTCAAATAAACTCTTCCTTCTATAAATTTTTTTGGTCAGTGTTTCTATCACAGCAACAGAAAAGTAACAAATACACCAGCCATGTAACAGAACAGAGTCCTAAGCACCCAGGAGAGGATGTGGCGGCATCTTTTGCTGATGTCAGATGGGTAGCTACAGAAGGAGGAGAGTGCTCAACTCGGGGCAGAGGGCCGGTCCAAGCCTTCCCGTCAGGATGACCTTCCTTGCTTTGAGAAGCCCCCAAGCAGACACATCTCCTTACTCAAGAAGACCTTCCCCTGAAGACTCTGGAAACGAAGACGCCCTGCAGAAAATCTCCCCACTTGAAAAGGAACCTGCTGCCCTCAGAGCCCAGACGGCCAGAACTGTGACCCTACAGGAGCCACAGAGTCTCAGTACAGTAGGTGACTTAGATCCTGCCACATCTGCTACCACAGCATCACCTCCTCCTCCACCGCCTCCGCCATGCTTCCCCCTTGACTTGGGCTCCACC